TTATTTGACTATTGTTGCCAACTTCATCGTATCTCTTTCTTTTAATCCTCTATGGTGTCTCCAACCATTCTTAACTTTTTTAAATAACTATTTCATTCATGTTTGCGGGGATGTACTAGTATTTTTGGGGAGGTGCACATAAAGCAACTAGCATAGACATCGTTAATCTTGTTAGCAGTATCTATATATATATTTGTGCACGTTCAGTTATATTTCATGATCATCGATTTTGCAGAAATAAGGGTCGGGTGATTAAATTATTTTCACTCATTTCAAACTTTGAATCAATCACAGTTACATATAAATTCGACATGTTCGAGGTTGTATCATAGCAATAAAATGATGTTCATTATATAGCATTAATCGTTTGCAATCAAAGCTGCGTTTAATTTTTAGGATTTGCGTTTGATTAATGCAAGATGGCCCTGGTAGCATTTATTAAAAGCAATCTGAACGCATCAATGAAATGTCAAAACACATTTCTTGGATGCACTGCGGTACACATCAAAATAATCCTCATCGCTGCCAGTGCGTTTCTTACTATTAAGCATGTCGAACATTTGTTGATAAAATAATGTTCCTGAAGGGCATTCTATCATAATATTTTACAAAAGATTATCAAAATATCGACCTGATAATGACTGAATTGAATTAAATACACCTTATATGCCTGTTAATTTCGTTTCCTTTGCACCCCACTTTATTTCAATTTGAGTATCCTCTTTTCATTTTAAAAGATCCAATTATAACGATAATTGTTTACAAAAAAAGTGTATATATATATTCAATCGTGTTTTATCAATTGTAGATGATAATATAATGTATTTGTAGATATCATGTAGAAACATAACAGTGTGAAATTTTAATAACAGTTTAACATTTCTTTTATTTTTTATTAGGATTAGGTTAATAGAATGTGTTAGGTGTTTGTTTTCATTATAAGGTAGAATATCTGCCTCCTTTGTGTACCGACTTTTACAAAGTTGTTTGACAATATACTCTGATTTATATTAAGAAGTATAAGATTGTTCTGAAGAATGCAACGCGTAATCTGCTCTCAAATGATTTCAGGCAATAACAATTATCAATATATGTCATGATGTCTGAGATCAACTTCAGCCTATAACTATATTAAGATTTCAGAATCGGTTGCACGATCTCATAACCCTTCTTTGTTTGTTATGTTGGATAAATTAAAAGTGTTAGCTTATGTTCATTAACTTAGAACAATACTTGATGTTGATATAATTTTCCTCGGCGAAAAGTTTGGAAATAATACAGGATTACAAGCTATTCATTCGTTGAGTTGTTTGAAAGTTGAACGTAAGTCGTAAGCCTTTTCAGTGTATTTATCTAAAGGTGGAAGAGTATTTTTATATGTCCCCTGTAAAGGATGGCTCTTCAAATTCCCTTATATTTGTAAAATTACAAGTAATATGTAAAAGGTGTGGAACACAAATTCATGCTACATGTTTGTGTAGTCCTGTAAACTCATTTATGTGTAAAGTTCATGTAACTTTTACAAGGACTGGGCCAATGTCTTATTATTTTGATATTAATTCCTAATCCTCATTGTATACGAAAATGCTTATGAGATACAAGATGAGCCTTTTCCAAAAGAAAGACGGGGCCCTGAACTCAACTTTATTTTGAATAACAGTTTAGGCCTTCATTCACGCTTGATATAGCTCTGGTTGTTACTGCTTCAAAATTCGTCCTTTTTCCTGTTTGACCTAACCATTATACACTGCGTATACAAAAAATACATACTTTGAAAAAACCTCCGAAATTATTAAGAGAATCGCCCCCAAAATTTCAGTATTGTACTGAAGCAAAGTGCATATCAGGCATCAATATTGCAGTTGCTCTGTTAACTATCAATAATTTGTTGACACTATCAGTTGATATTTGACCTTACATTTGCAGTCGTGAAACAAAATGAAGGAGGATATTTCAATAATGTTTGTGCCATCCAATTGAATAGACCCTCACGTATATTTCCATAACAAAAAAAATCATACAGATATCATGTATTTAAAATGAAGGAGGATATTTCCAAGTATGTACTTATTTTGATACATAAAAGGCAAACTTACACAAACATGATTATTATGTACTACAGAAAAACTTAGTACAAGGTATGGAATTTTGAAGAAAAAAATAAGGCATTAGTATAATACTACCGGAACAATGATGTTTCAAAAGGTATTTGAAGCATGTCAAGCTCATTTTGATTTTCCTTCATGTGGAAAATCGTTGGCAGATAATCAATATGACTCCAAACAAAAGCCCCAGAAAAAAAACATATTGTTCTCTGTCTAACATAGCCCCCAACCCTGTGTGTTTCAGGCTTTTCATTTTGCAAATAATTGATTAGATGAAAATATGAATTTATGAGACTCTTACATTCAATTCAATATATATAATTATTTTGTTCTTGCCAATGGCTTAAATTGAATTGTATTATGGTTTGGTTGTTAGCGTTCAGTATATTCCATATGTACTAGTCAAAACTATTCAAAATGTGAAAGCAGAAAAACGTTTTAAAAACCATGTAAAGATACAAATTTATATATGTATTTGGACAACGAGATTACTGATGTTTTCGTTAAAACATTATTTTTTGTATTTTTCAAATTATATGCTACATAATCTTTACAAGTTCTATTAGTAAAATGTATTGGCTGTGCAGATGCAAACAATTCATGTTATTTACATGTAGTGTTGAAGGTTCAGTGCGTATGTTTTCGTTTGATTATGTTAGAATTTCATTTTCCCTTATTACCAGAACACATGATGAATTTTCAGTCGTTCTTCTTTTACATGTATATGTATGTGTACTCAATTACAATCTAAAAGCGTCTGTAATGTTGGATTATTCATTCCTAAATTTATAGTACAATCATGTAGCATTATGAAGGAAAATAACAGCATACATGTGCCACGCACTTTTGATTAAAATACATCTGTTCTAAGCGATTGTCATCTTAATTTATTGGATATTAGTTACAGTTGTGGAAATATGTGGATGAGTCTGTATATGTGCATGTGCGTGAGCGTGTGCGTGGGCGTGTGCGTGAGCTTGGATGAAGCTGACGTTCAATGCAGTATAGGATTGGAACTAAGTTCAAGAACTTGTAGATTGTAAACCCCTCCAATGTTAAGAGAGAAACAAATAGAAGTAGACACTGAACAAAAAGATAAATATAATTATCTTGATTACAATTTGCCTTTGCACTATGCAGTTGACAAGCCTTTTTGTCGAATTGAATTATACATTGATATAGATTAAAGTCGGTTATAACGCCATTGTACTAGAAAAGCGCTCATGGCGACCATGGCAATTCGTAAAATTTTCTTAAGCATGGCAGAATCTTCCTCCAACTCAATTTTTGGCCTGTGAGGCTATTATTTGAACAGCTTTGCTGCGATGTACCTGCGATGAAGGCGATACGATATATACGATGATAGTACGATGCTGCCAATTTCTCGCCCAATGTCAAGGCGATCAAGGTATACGTAATACGCTTTAGGCGCTGCTGCCACGTTAGAGTTATAAAAATGTAGTTTTGTATATGTTCTTGAGTCGATTGTGATGCGCTTTGAAAAGATTGAGCCACGACCCACGAAGCTTCGTCGATTTTGGGGAATCGCAACAGAATCGTCATCTAGTGAGACGGGAGTACATGTATTAGGAAATGTGTCTTTTGTATTTTACTATAATTGTACTTTAGTGCATCTCTTCATTTCTTCGTCATTTCTCATGTAGGATTCCTATTCGCTAATTATTGTTATCAATATTAATTTATCATTATTATTAGTATTAGTAGTAGTATATATATCATAAATGAACAAGACGGAATTAGCATTAAACAAATATGTGTAGATTAATGGGAAAACCATATTAACATAATTTGCATCTTTGAGATATTCCGAAATTCTTCGAAATCGGGGATGTCATAACTCCTTGATCTTGTTGATTTAGAAGCAATAATACATTGTATGGGCAAAGGAGAATCTCTTACAATTAGTAACGTGTGCCTCACCATTCAACTCATGGATGGTTAAAATGAAATTGGAGTCCTTGATTGTTATGGTAACGATATTCTTTTCGCAAAATAATCGTTCGGTATAAATAATTGAAACGAAATGCTTGATGTCATTGCTCGTCCATTCAACCGAGTAGACAAATGAAAATGGACCATATCGATATAAAAAAAAGTTGGATGGCAGGGTTTCTTTACATTATACTGCATCACCTCTCTCTCTTACTCTCTCTCTCTCTATATATATTATATATATATCTCTCTCTCTTTTTCTTTCTTTCTCCCTCTCTCTCTCTCTCTCTCTCTCATTGTCTCTTCTTTCTCTCTCTCCCTCCCTCCTTCCCTCCCTGCCCCCCCTCTCTCTCTCTCTCTCTCTCTCTTTCTCGCTCTCGTTTTTTCTCTCACTCCCTACCTCCCTTTGCCCCTCCCTCTCTCTCTCTCTCTCTCTCTCTCTCGTACTAGTTTTCCCCTCTTTCGGTTCCCTTCTTTATCTCTACTTCTACATTCTTATTTTGAACGGTCGATTCCACTATCCTTTGATATTACTTTCTTCCCAATCTTGCTGATGCCTGACTACAAACTACAAAATATGCATTTAACAATGGAAATATGAATTCAAAAATAGAATGAAAACCCAGTATTGGATAAGGAATAGAAGTCGGTTTCCCCGCGTTAGAAACTAATAACATTAGAAGACACAGATACGTGTCTATTGGCTGTTCGCGGGGTCGGTGATGTTAGTCTTGGTAGCACGAATTATATTCCTCCTCTTTCCGTGATAGTACCCTCAGTACTGTTGTTCGCATCATCCCATTGTTTCTTCCATCCTCCTCCGCTCTCACTGCGTCCGTTTCTATGGCAACTACTGCATGCGTTATGCATAGTAGACACGGAGCATGCGCAAGGAGGGCCCGCACCCCGCACTCTCTTGATTCTCATCGCGTCGGGTTGGTGTCTGAAACCTGTTGCATCTCTCAGCATTTTGCTCTCATAATAACCGCTCGGTTTTCACCGTCGAGTTTTAGCCTCTTATTAATGTATCATATTTGGTGGGATTTTCTACAAAGCTTCGAAAAGCAAGTCGATACCTATTTCGAATACCTGTAAAGCTAACCTCATTTAGCCCTCACCATCATCGATTAACGAGAAGGATGGCTGTGAATGTCATTAGGGTGAGTTAATGTACTCGATTTACTCTTGTTAGATATCTGTGGATAAAAATGCGTTTTACAAATTGATTCTGAAATGCATAGTTATATTTTTCCTTAAAGAGAAATGTTAGTATGTTTTTTATAAACATCTTTACCAAGATGGGGATGGAGAGAAAACGGAAGAGAGAAAGAAAGAGGAGAGCGAGCAGAGAGAGGGATAGACATGAAGAGGGGACAGAAATGTAGAGAGATTTTAAAAAACAAGTATGAAGAAGAAAAATTAATTTAATTTTTGATTATTCCTTGATTATTTAAGTTTAAAACTTAAATAATCAAGGTGTGAATTCATTACGCAAAGAAAGAACAGATAGTATTAAGGATGATGGAAAACATATAGGAATTTGATTCTTAAAATGCACGAATTAAGGCCTTAGAAGTAGATAAGAGAGTGATATTACTTAAAAGTAAAATTGCTTTTGATAGTCATAGCTGGTCCATATACCGTCAGTTTCTGCGATGTTTTATACAAAAACAGTCATCTTTACTTGGTTTGTTAAATGTCAAAACGTCAGACCCATGAAACTTAAAAGTCAACTTAAATTTGATTGGAAAATTGTATATCAGATCATGAACAAATAATCGTTTGTTACGGAAATTGATCTTATTATTGACTTTATAGACAATATTAGGTGAATTTGACACTCTTATAGAGGGAAAATACATGTACAACTAAGTGTAACTCTAATAAGCTACAGGGTCTTCGTGTCACATGCACTGGATTGCTTTCGTGTTAATATATATTTAAAGATAATGCATCCGTCAATTATTTTGGATTTCATCATTCAAGTTTTTAAATGTATTTTTGATATTTTCAATTTTTTTTTTATTTTATTATAAATTCGAAAATCGAAAATCGTCAAAAACAAACATATGGATCTTTATTTTTTTGTTATAGCACTAAAGAATGTTCTCAGAAAAGTTGAAAGCGAGCTGAAAATGTAAGCAGATTTTTAAAAAAAACGCTTTACTGCACGTTTTAACAAAAAATAATGCTGGCCTAAATTGTTTAGATGTGTACTACTTTTCGTCCACTATTTCTTTTTTTTTTTTTTCAGTTTGGTTTGATGTTGTTTTTATCTGAAAAAAGACTTTAAAATGATATTCTTATGGCTGTATCAATCGGTTTGATCAATCCTGCTAGCAAATATAAACAAATATTGGGAAATGACTGTTTGATTTACTTATAAATCTCCATCATGACGTTGTCAATTCTGGTTCTGGATCTGTATAAATACTCCAACAAAGCGGGATCCCGCATCGCGTCAGTTGACCAATAGCATTCATAAATATTTTGATATATGTTTCTGTGGTAAAATAGGTTTTTTAAGTACCATCAAAATGACTTAATGGTGAGATGCAGTATCTGTACAAGAAAAGAGAGATGCAGGTGTAAACGTTTCCCAAATCTATTTCTGATAGATTTCTGATCTGATTTTTGATAGAAAATCTAGGTTTGGGAACGCTTGTATTTGTACTTGTATAGGTAATCTTATAATGACTTGTAAGTAATATATAATTTAATGAATAATTGTTAAATCTATCTGAAAAGCTATTCGTGAAATTTATCTTGGATGATAAAGTGAATAAGTGATTCATCACAATTTTAATAGTGAAGGCAACATTATTGGAGGATGCATGCTGTGCACAAGCCCCCCCCCCCCTCCCCTCCCCCTCCCTCCTCCTTTGGAGTGGTCAGAAAGTGAGTGAGAGAGAGAGAGAGAGAAAGAGAGAGAGAGATAGAGAGAGAGAATCACGAAGTTTAACGGCCATTTAGGCCTTACATAATGAATATCTACAAGCCATCTTACGATAGAAAATCTCGAGTAGAAAGAAGTAATATTGATTGCTCACGATCGCTCGATAAAAGCTAGAAATTGCCTGCACGTTTCGTGAAAGATGAATGGTGGTATTGTAATCTAAAAGAGAATGGGGACTAGGATATCAAATTTTAATTTCCGATAACTACCTAATAATAACTCTATGGGGAAATCTAACTCTATGCCATGACCTCATCTATAATGGTAATGTACGCTTGGGAAGGGGCCCAAACTGTCAAATTATTTGGCATTTACTGCATAAAAAGGGGGGTTGCGTGTGATTAAAATACTAGTCAAGCGATAACTCTATGGGGAAATCTAACTCTATGCCATGACCTCATCTATAATGGTAATGTACGCTTGGGAAGGGGCCCTAAACTGTCAAAATTATTTGGCATTTACTGCATAAAAAGGGGGGTTGCGTGTGATTAAATTCTAGTCAAGCGATAAAATGTTTAGATTCTCAACTAAGCAAGAACATATTTTAAATATAATAAGGTATGTGACATTGGCATGATTAATGCGCCCGTATGCAATAGCTGTTTACAATTTAAAACATGGGTACCTCTGTGAACTTGGAATTTATTGCTTCAAATAACTTGCATTGATTCAAATAACTTCCATTGATTCAAATAGCTTGCATTACTTTAAATAACCTGTATTGCTTCAAGTAACTTTTTGTTCCCACTGACACCACGTAACCACTAATGATTAAGTGTTCACGAGGGTTTCCAGAATGTCAAACTCGAGCTTTCTTGGACCTAAGCGTAGCTGGTGTTTCAAAATGTTTCATAATAAGTAGGGCCGACACCATGTGCTTAACACATGTCAATATGTGCAAATGAGAGTTGTGGTTTTTATTGAAAATGAATCCAGCAATTATTATGAGGTTCTTTTTATTTTTTGGTTCGGTTCGATCAATCTACTGCAGGATAAACAATCCAGATTGAATTACAGCTATGTACTCTCCACATATGATGCCCATACCAAAGCTCAAAATTAGCTTTTAAGTTTCAAGTTACTTTTTAATTTAGAATTCGGTGTAGTGTTTAGTTTAGGGTGGAATTAGGACTTTGGCTAGAGCAGGAAAGTTACTGCGGAACCATAGTCACAGGAGCATGTCTCGTATGCCTTGACGTGCTGACACACTTCAGGGTATTTTCCGCATGCATCCCGTACTTCAACTAAAAGTTCTTCATTGAATCATTAAACATTGGATAACATTCATTTCTCAAAAAAGTGTAGTTTATCAACAGAACTGTATCTACCATGCATTTCCTAGATTTAAGATACTATATCATCAATTCCATGCGCTATTTTAGATAAACAAAAAATAACTTATGTACTCAAGTTGTTGTAATTTCCAAGTGAACAATTGGTTTTATGGCAATATAATCTCGCGAAAACAAGATATTTCCATGTCTTTCAAATTAATTTAAGATTGTTCTATAAAAATGAAATCAGGAACCCATTTCACAAAGCCTTTTTTCAATGACAAATGACAACAAACAGTGGTAAATCTGCTGTTAACCAATCAGAAGCAAGGTTTTCACTAGCTAATAACAAAAACTGTCATTTGTCACTGATGACAGGTTTGTGAAATGGAGCCCAAGACCCCACAAAAGTTTAGGAATATTGAATCACTTTAGACATCAACCACTGAGAACTTAAAATCGTTGACTTTACATGAGTCGATAATTTCAATGAGAAGGAGATATTCATGTCTTTTAACCATTTCATTGAATTCATGATGATAGCGTTCTTCGTAATTATGACAATGGGAAAGATCGACGAGCGATAGAATTAGATTTTTTAAAGCCTGTAACAGCTAAATTAGTTATCGAAGGGCAAAGACTGTTGTGTTCGATGCCTTCCATTATTACAAGGTTACACAGCGTTTGGAAAATTCTCAAGGCTCAGAATACAACAAATTGCTCGATTGTCTTCTATACTCTTTGGATACACAAAAGCCTTTTCCGTTTTCTCATCAATAACTAAATAGATATCAGGAGAACATGTAATTATTATAAGGTGTACCACACCGCCATGGCAGCTTCAATAAGTGGGTCCTCTCCCTACTCTGTTGCCATGGTTCATATTTAAGGCATAATTAATGATAGTGAAATGATTGTGGATAATGCAGATTGTAGAAATACTGACTGACAATGACGAAAATAGCTTCTCACATAACAAAAGAAAACTTGTTTTTTTCTAATATAAGATACTGTAAAACAAACTTCTTGAAGTATGTCAGGGGAAGTGGAAGAGAATTAAGGGGAAGGAGACAGGTGCAACAACGGGGGCGTCGACGGGGGCGCAGACGGGGATAGAGATGGGGTAGAGACGGGGTAGAGACGGGTTAGAGACGGGGTAGAGAAGGGCAGTTGTACGGTAGGTGAAGAGGGAGTTCTTGAAAAACAGAGAAGGCACGCCCACGCAAACACGGCATCGAATTTGAAAAAAATCAAAGTTCGTTTCTGGACAACAGGCAGAGGCATTCAATGGGCTGACTTTTCATTTTAAACTTGGAAACAAAGTTAGATCGTTTCCTCATCAGTCACTATTGGCCTATCCACCCTTTCGGCTTGTGCCGAAAGGGTGGGTAGCGTCGCGTCGCTTCGGGTTGACTTGAACGCGACCTTAAGTCCAAAGCCCCCCCCCCCCCCGGTTGTACCGTAAGGGTGCGCTGGGAGTGTCGCGTTGATTGGAACGCGACCATTCGTCCAAAGCCCCCCCCCCCGGTTTTGCCGAAAGGATGCGTTGACTAGTCTTCCACATATGTCGTTTAAATTCAAATAATCAAAATAGAAACAAATTAAAAATAAAATTAATCTAGGTTTTTACCTAGTCTTGCATAACAGGCCTTTATAAGAATTAAATCAATAAATAACAAGAAACACAATCAAATAGGCCTAATTTACTTTGATATTTAAAATGTCAAATAAAGGTGTTTACCTAGTATTACATTTCAATCATTCGTTTATTAGAATAACAAAAAATAATATCCATTTCTTTCTATGTATAGAATTCAGAAAGCCCCCCCCCCCCCCCCCCCCCCGCTTATCCCGAAAGGGTGCATTAAGGCAGTAGGCCTACTCCGTTATTTATTTATTTATTTATTTATTTGTTATTTCACTTGTAAAGACTGTTATGCATGACTAGTTCACATCAACAAAATTAATTATATACATAGAAAGAAATGGATATTATTTTTTATTTAACATTTTTAATTATTGATTGAATTTATTAATTGATTTAATTCTTATAAACGCCTGATCTGCAAGACTACGTAAAACCTAGTGCCATTCAATTCTGTTTCTATTTTGATTATTTCAATTATTATTTTGGCACAACCGGGGGGGGGGGGCTTTGGACAAATGGTCGCGTTCAAGTCAACGCGACGCTACCCACCCTTTCGGCATAAGCCGATGGAATCACCATGACTCTGGGTGATACAAATAATTGGAAATCTTTGTAAGATCATTCGTAAAACAAGATATTGAGACATCTCTTGAACGTTATATAATCCCAGATCGCACAAGTTCTTTTAAGGAAAGATTATTCTTTAAATGAGAGTGCATGCAGGTTAATTGAGTTAGGCAAGAAATATTTGTTGTCAATACTTCTAACGCTAATCAAACTAATTGGAGTTTTTTTCTGCCGCCTTCCTATTATAATATTTAATTTGTTTAATGGAACCTGTGGAGTCAATGACTGAGACACAAAATTAATCAGTATCAGGTATTGGGGCACTCTTTCTATATCACCACTTAAATTATTGTTTCATTTCAGTATTAGCTTGATTTACCATGTGTACCAGGGACTGCCTCGACAAAAACTTACGGTTTTATTTGCAGTTTCCCCAATTCTTTTTAATTGATTAACTTTATATAATTCCGGTATATTTGTAGAAAAATTGTCAATTTTATGTGTGTCCTCTGTTTATTGTATATTGTATATAATCTGTATTTCATACTTTCATTACAAAAAAGTATGGATTTAAACTGAAATAAACTTAAAATTCAATTCAATTGAAGTTAAGTCCATGCAATATATTTTGAATTTAGATGTTTCGTTCAATTCAATGTATTCATTATCCAGATCAATAGGGAAAATATTGAAACTCACGTGTTAAAAAAAAATGCATGCATGATGAGGCATTAAACATATTTACGAATATACACAAAACAATAACTAAACAAAAAGAAAACATACATGAAATATACGAGCTGAAAGATTCAAAGGACATGGTCAAGGACAAAGAATTTGACCATCAATAAGTCCATCATCGTGTGGTCAGAGGCATAACTGATTATTATACGATTATAAAATAAGTAAGATGATTAATTTGGTTAAGAGATTGGTAAATCAATACAACACACTGTTTCACGCTTTCCTGGATTTTATAGGATACAGTATAATATAATAAATGAGGCAGGCTCTATGTTTAAGCCTAGGTTGTATTCATTTAATATAATTAAGTAAGTAATAATAATTATGTTAATCAAGTTGGTATTTTTAAGTTCTCGTCTAAAAATGGATACATCAACCACCTCCTCCCCGATATAAATTAATCTTAAATTTCATCAAAATAATAACAGACTCCAACAAAGCTTGGGCTAAAGTAAAGAAATGAATTAATCAACCAAACGGCGGGTTAAATTGTATGTTTACGGAATTATCATTGACAATTATAGTCAAGCTCGTCGTTCTGAAAACTAACATTAACAAATGTATTGAGCCCTTATGTTTATATATAACGTGTTGTTGTTTGTGTTTTCTTGCTAATGGTGAGTGTGTTTGGCCAAATTTTTCAATTTTAAGTTATATTTGGTTGGTCCAACTAACATACCCGTACTTTTTCTATTGTACTTTTGTATATTTATCATGTATTTCATCTTTTGCACAAGCTACGTCTTAAGCATTTCATTGTCAAGTGGATTTGGCCCCTTACAAATCCTATGTATTATCATACAAAACAATGTGTTGGTAGTTTAGTTTAATACCTGTCTTTACTGAAAGTGAAGATTGGCTCCTTATTACAACTGATTTTTTATTCTGTTAAGTTTTAGTAAGATTTCCTTGTATTCATTTAAATCTGGATCACCAACTAGGTTCTCGAGATAACCCATGCTGTTGTTGGTAATGGTCGTGGTAATGGTTTAATGGCGATGCGAATTTACACTGGTGATTGGAGGATATGAGAGGTGATATGTGAGGGCTTATCGTACAAGTGTTAAACATGTAAAGTTGCCTTTCCCTGTCAGTCCACAATCCGACATATGAAAAAACTGATTTGGCAATGGTTTCAGAGAATCTAAAATATTTACCTTGTGTTTTTCTTTGTTTTGGAACAATCGTCTTACATGAATTTACAAGACTGTCATTTTTCTTCCTTTTTCGTTTAATTTTTAAGTTGTATTGTTTTGCTCAGGGATAAATATTTACTTGTCGAGGGGCAGACAGTACCCATTCTTAGACATTAAACGCTGTAGAGCACATACGTTCACAAGCGGGATTTGCCGTCCATGTCAAGGGAAGGTTGCCACACGGAGGACAGTTTTAAGAAGAAAACACAGACAATGGGCCATTATCGTAAGCTAGCATAGTACTAAAATTATTATGTTGTTGGTTATGACCGTGTCATGTAATTAAAAAATAATTTGCGATAATGAATGTCATACAGTACCCTCAATAAAAAAAACACTAATTGCTTGACTTAGGCTCACGAATTGAGATATAATCAAGATAAAGAGAAAGAGAGAGAGAGAGATAGAGAGAGTGAGAGAGAGAGAGAGAGAGAGAGAAAGAGGGAGAGAGAGAGAGGTGGAGAGAGAGAGAGAGAGAGATGGATAGAGAGTAGACTGACGGAGAGGAACAAAGCACAAGGTCGATACTAAGAAAAAAAGAGGAAAGTTCACATAGACGGAATGGATAGAAAGATAGAGATAGATAGAGATAGATATACAGTGCGTGTGAAATAAGTGTATCTAACCTTGGTAGATCGTAATAAAAAAGAAATAACCTATGTGACCTTGAATCATTTTCCATGATAAAGGGTGACTGATATCCTGTCTAATGATGCCCTATTAATAATTGTGCTGCCACGGATGACTGAGCAACACCCTTTTCAAAAAAAAGTATTGTCAAAATCCTCTTGTACCAAGTTTGGGATGAAGCAGTGAATGTGGTTCAAAAGCCATTATAATGTTATCTCATTCAAATAAAAAGCGCCCACTTGTTTACATTGACTAATTAGGCAACTGAAAAGAAAATGTGTTGTTATCATCTCAAACTCAAGGAGATGGTTATTACGAGCAACATTTATGATATTCTCTTCGTTAAGATGATTCTTGACTTAATTTCTCATTCCTCGCTTAAAGGGATAGTTGAGTTCTCTTGCAGAGGGCGCTACACAAAACAATTTTTTTGTGAGATAATGAAAAACTGAGTGTCAAATTTAAAAGAACATACAATTTAGATGACAAAATCATCTTTGTTTGATCGTAATCGGTTCAGGGACGGCTGAAATATCCACAAATATAACGGTTTCTAATATTTGTGTACCACCACAAATATTCGATAATTTGAAAAAACTGTTGAAAAAACGAAATAGCGCCTTTAACGTTGTATTCCAACCAATGCTGATGTTGGCTTTTTCTGTTTGGCTTTTTCGTGTTGGTTATATTACGCACAACCAGCCGGCCCATGTATTGTTAATTTTTAATTAGTTAATTAATTAACGGTCACCGTATATTTTTGGAAGTGGAGCTGAATTGGTATGATGGTAACGACTAAATTTCACACATTTTGGGGTCTAAAATTAGCGTCATAGCAATTTTAGGTTCTAAAAGGGTACTAGAAATGTCATGGATAAGAATAACAGCAATAATCATGCACTTTGAAGGCATTTGCGGTCTGGAAACAGAACTCAACTATACCTTTAAGGTAATTGTTCTCATTGAGTGATATAAAATGGATAAACTTTATTAGGGTGGTAATCTTTTGTTATCAAAGCATTCTCTCAATTTATTTGATACTTATCATCATAATGTTGTTTCTTGCGTTTGGACTTAGTAACCCTTTTCATTGCCTGTTCGAGAAACCACCTTAATATGCTCTGACTAATTGCCAATAAGCCAAAACAGAAGAAGGAGATTGGTGCAAAGCTTGCCATGAGACTTTCACAGTCTTTAAAGTCCGTCTGCACTAGTTGGACCAGGGAATTAGACCTCCCTGCAAGGTCACTGACACGTGGTTCAAATCAGATCTCAAATAACATAAGAATTTGATCATGGGGGACCGACAGCCACCGATTAAACATTGTTTGCTATATAAGGACGCAAGTACATGTAGCTATTAGTGCAGTGTGGCTTATCCCAAAAAACAAACGATGATGACGTCCACAGGATGATATACTTCTTTTACAACTTAACTCCAGGAGCCCATTTTCTCATTTTCAGATCTCATTGTAATCAACTACATTTTACTCTACGTCCACATTTCCTAATATAACCCATTAATTATATCTTATATGACTTGTAAGCAATTTACATAATTATAATTCGTTAAATGTTTGATATTGCTGTGTGTCTTAATCATCCATCAATTTTAATATGAAGTTTCTTTTTTTTCTTCCTCGCTATAGTTCATCGCCTGGTTGTTTTTCCTGGCTACTCTGACTAGAGCCGAGGACTGTAAGTACATGTCATCGTAATTTTAAGGCGTCGTTAAGATATGAGGCGGTATACCGTGTTTTGTTTTGATGATGGCGTACGTGTAAAAGCCCAAAGCGTATTTTGCGATCTTCCTGTGATGAGATTTTTTTCTTTTTTTTAAAGAAATGGCACTTAAATTAGATAGGGAAATGTTACAGACATCATCTTCCTGCTATAAGTTCTGAGTAATGATAAGAGTTATACAAACCGGAATTGTAATGCATCATACGCCTTCAGTTAGAATAAAAGCTTAATCGGTTTCAGATAGTAAACAATCACATTACTGGTGTGATGTCACAACGATTCTCAACCGATGTATTTCTTTATCCTCCAAGGAAGCTTGAAATCCATTGAAATTCAAATTTGATTTATATGACTATTCATTTATCCATCAATCATTAATATTTCAATATTTTAAATTGTTCATATCAAATGCTATTGTAAATTCTTCCCAAATCAGATGTAGTCAGATCTTTTAATGTGCAGTGGGCTTTATGCTCCATATATGTGAATATTATACCACAGAGCTCAGTGAATATTACAGTCTCCCCTCTTCCTCTCTATCCTTTCGCTCTCTCTCTCTCTCTATTGCAAGTCATTCTCTCTCTTTATTATGATTCATAGATACTATAAGCTGTTAGTTTAGTTTAGATTAGTTTAGTTTAGTTTAGTTTAGTTAATAATAGTTGAGTTAAATCGAGGGCTGCAAGCATTTCAAGCTTCATGCTTTATACGCTGTATCCCTCCTATATCATGTTAATTGTAAAAAATTAGTAATGTTCTCCTATGTATTATCCATGTTCTAAACTATATGAGTATCATGTGTTGTACTTTGAAGCGTAAATTATATCACACTGATGGACATTATGTATGTTTAAAATATGATATATAAACCAATAAATCAAATCAAATTTGAGTTCTGGTCATGCGATTGCATTGTGAAAGAAACGGTGTGGAACCGACCAGAAAAGGTTGATCATCTAGCATATAAGAATTTGTGTGTATTGCAAGGTTCTGGAATCATAAGAAATTTGGCCAAGTCTTGGTAAAGTTGCACAGAAAGATGTATATGGGACTACATGAACACGTGGCGTAAAAAGCCGGCCCCCGATTTTTACGATGTTACATGCAAATTTAGAATATGAAGGCATTTGAAGAGCCATGTTTTTCAGGGAAAATGTCTTAACTGATGTTCTTCCACACTTGCATAATAAGAATGAGTAATGCTCACAGATTATTTTTCACCTCTTCCCAGAACTCAACCTTCTCTTTAAGCTACTGTTATCACATGTATGAATAACCATGATAAACTCATCCCTTCATGAATGAAAACAAATCAATGCCTATATGAAGATTGTGTACAAGGTGGATGTTTGAATGGCATTTTGAGGGTGTTTATATGGCTCATAATTTAGGGGGAACGGCAACTGTGATATCTTATTCGCAACCATAAACATTTTTTGGGCGCAGGTAAAATTGAGGAAAAATTATTTCAGAAATAGAAAATGTGTGGATGATGCTTCTGAAGGGCCGAATTTATCGCGGGTTTCTGTTTTTTCTTCTTCTCATTTCCAAGGGGGTGGGGGTGGTAAACAGTTTAGCTTAGTATCAACCAACTGCCCCACCCCACCCCCCCCCCCATAGAAAGTAAATTAAAAAATAAAATCGTAATGATAGCCATGTAATCAGATCAGCTTTTTTTAGTATCTGCAACTATCTTTCGTTTTAAACAAGATTTCAACTTCTTTCAACCTAAGGCAATTTTGATAGCATTGTGCGTCACCTATTGAAAGTGCGTACATAAAGTATTACGTAATCCGAACATGGTTTCTATGGGGAAAACAATAGGTTATTGAAATAGCCCTTGAGTTGATATTACACTCCCTCTAGACACCTACGTTCTCAAAACTCTGGCTCACTTGTTACTCCTATAGGGTTAAAACAAAGTTGGGGGAGCGAACCTTCGCTCATGCTGGGCCTTCATTATGGAATACTCTCCCTCAATGGATTATGAATAGCAGTTCTGCTAAAACAATCTTAAGAAATATCTGTTTAATTTAGCTTATAATTGATTACCATTACATTTCATGTCTGTACCTTTCCTATTGCACTTTTGTATATATGTATCATGTATTTCATCTTATGCACAAGCTGCGCCTTGAGCATTTGACTGTCAAGTGGATTTGGCGCCTTTTAAATCCTATGTATTGTTATTATTATTATCATATTTCGGAAAAAGTTGCGTTCGTGTTCGTTGAATTTGTGTCTTTTCGTCGTATAATCATCTATATTGGTCCTTTTGATATACGATAGGCCTTCATGCATGGCTGGCTTGACTCCATTCTATCGAGTGAAACACTAATAATTCGCTTTACAATTAAATTGGAGCTCTCTCTCATCTGGTATTCTGCGTCTAGATGAAACAAAAAAGATTAAAACTGCAATTACCATAATTGGATTCTGATTGACATACAACGAGTTGTCAACAATAATCACACTTTTAACCGATGGTATATCAGGTCAAGCTACTATCGGGTTTTAATCGACCAAATGTACTCGCAAAACAAACACCAGTAGAACAAGATATAGCATTTTGCCATGTTTGTAGTTAAGGTCTGTTTGCTTCATAGAAAGTGAAACATGGTTCAGTGACTGCTTCTTTCATATTAAAGATTGAGGTAAATTATCACCACTCAAAAAAATTATGAAATTAAGAATTTTTGTATTAAAAATAATAGGATGAAACCTTGAATATACAATTGTATTTTGATCATAATAATAATCCTTCACAGATCGTCAATATGGGTACGGTGAAATAAGATGAAAAACTCTTTGCAAATGTGTCTCACATCGTGCTCATTGGAATAAATTACCGACTTAAAGATAATCTCAAAGTAGTTAATTCCATTCAACTGAATTGTATTGTATCAGTAATATTTGATTTTGTTGCTTTTAAGCTATTAAACATGTTGAATAATTATACTGACATTACCACTTGTGCGCTTAGAAACGCCTGTATTAGTAGGCGCCCTTTTAATGTAATTATTATCTTTAGTATCATTATCATTATCATTATCGCAATGATTTATTTTGGATTATTTATCCAGCTTCTGCTGTAGATTGATCGTTCAAACCAGAAATAAAAAAAAACTCACAAAACCTTACCGATAACATCTTCGATAAAAACCACAACTCGCATTTGCATCTTTTTGCATCATTACTCAGCCTCTATACATTTTCTAATTAAAAAAATTGGCACATGTCATTTATTGGTAATCTTGAACATTCAGTGTAATTTTCGTTGGATTCTATGAAAATTTATTTTCTATTTTTACACGAATTCAACTTTGTCTTTAAAGGTACTATGTCACATTCGCAGGGCAAAAAAATGAAAAGGTTAAATTCCAACGGCATTTGAAAGACAATACTTATTTGTAACTTCCCTCAAAACGAAAGGGTTTGAAAATGGCTTTTTGTGGGAAAAAATGACCATTAGTTGTCGAATCGACATGTGTGATTACAATCACCTAAGTTATAGTCTGATTTTCATACCCTTGTTACGAATGGTCGTCATTTTTGCTGCACAAAGATTCAATCCGTTTAATTTTGGCTATTACAAGTAGTGGGTTATGGATGTAGACAAATGCTTTATGTGTACCTGTTACAGCTTTATTTGTGTCAGTCAGTCACTCAATAGTGTCTGACAGGGAAGTCTAGAAAGCAAATGGGTTTCCTTGCATAGTTTGAATACTAGGAGACTGTTAACTTTGACTTTTCACAAATAGGTCATACATGACATAGTCATAATTCCTGCGAAATTGTACAGAATTTGATGTTGACTGCAAAAGAGACATAGTATCTTTAAATGGGAAAATGATGTCAGAAATGCTACGTGATCTGTTTGTTATTTTCCTCTGATTATTATGCACATCAACCTTGACAATTTTCAACGAAGTGGTAGTCTGTGGATATCTCGTAACTTCGTGCCTTCAAGAGAAGGTCGAGTCCAAGGAGAGGTTGAAAATAGTCTGTTAGCTTTTTCAGTATTCAATGTTCGTGCGGAAGAATATCACAGCAAATTGCTCCCCCCCCCCCCCCCTCCCTTGAAAGGCAAGGAATAGCTGACGTGTTTGAACCAATTTCCATGCCAAACATTTGTATAGTCCCATTTTTAACAAGCTTTCTAGCGTTTGACTAATCAGGTCATTACCTATATTTGGCTCATTAACTAATTCATAATACAGAAATATGATATAGCATTACATACCGTTCCATATAATATTTTTGTTTTTTATTTAAATAATGATTCAAAATGCTTTTGCGTGTATACCAAATTATCTTTTTGCAGATCCTGAGCAATGCATATCTTTGCGTTGTGTTATGAATCAATGTCTGATATAAAAACAATTGTATTTGGCCTTCAACTAGAAAGTGGATAATACAATTTAAGAAAAGAGGATTACTTTTTTTCGAATATGAACTTACTACAAATTTGCTAAACTCTCCTCCACATAAGAATCTGTAAAGTTAAATTTGTTATAAAATGTAACTTTTGAGTCATTTTCGATCACAAGTTTCTTACGTTCTTCGTTTTTTGTTTTTTTGGTTATATAAAGTCTGTTTGTTTACCTCATTTCCCGGCCCCCCCACTCAGTGTTATTTAGGGTACGCATATGCTCGTACCCTCTTTTTGAAAGCACCCCCTATCTGAGGACTGCCAACATTTCCGAACCCCCTTTCGCGGGCTTTTTGCGGGCTTTTCCTGCCTTGGGGACCCCCTAAATCAGGAAAAATGCTCAATGTACCCCCCTAAATTCGGAATAATTTCTCAGGATTTCAAAGAGATGAGAGAAAAAAAGAAAAACACCCCCTTTTTAAAGAAATCTCCGGGTGAAAAGTCAAATACACCCCTTTTTTTACAAATCTCGGGCCGGACTTTGTCGCACGAAAAGTACCCCTTTACCGGACATTTTGGCAACACGCATGCGGTCATTCCGACCTCTGAGTGGGGGGGGCCGGGCCTCATTTACAATGAGTGCAATACATTATGTACGCAAACAAATTTGTTTTATCATATTGGTCTTCCTGTAGCTATCATTCTCATGCTTGAAGTTTACGTTGAAGAATGTTGGCAGAAAATGTAATATTCCCAACACATAACAATAATTCACCCAATTATGCCTTTACGTTTGGATGTGCCCTCATATTTATAAAACATGACGCTGACCTTATTTTGTTGTTTGTTGTTTACTGTTGTCGTTATTGATGTCTAAAGTTAATTGTTTGTAGTTCATTGTTCATTACTGTTGTTTATCGATGTTACCTGTTGATTGAGGAGGCGCGATAGCACAGTCGGTAGAGCAGTGGTCTCGTAATCCGGTGACCCGGGTTCGAAACCAATTCAAGGCGATGCGCTAGTGCCCTTTGGTAAGGCATTAATCCTCACTACCAGGTCCTACGGAGAGGATCTAAAGCCGTCGGCCGTCCGGTTGCATACTTACAAGCATTTATGCTTTCTTACCATCACATTGAATTATCGTTGTGTACTGTTGTTTATTAACAGGTGACGTCGAGAGCAAGAATTGTACCTGCGTGATGCCCAAGCTGTATGATTGTCCCGAGGTGGATCTTAGTCTCAACCCGGTACCAGACGGCTGTCCACTGCTCAATGAGAAACTGGCCGGAACAGACTTCTCTGATCTAACTTGCGGTGGTGAGAATGATACATTCGAACCAATTTCTGGTGCGGTGAGTAAATTCACAATCTCATTAATCACACGTTTTGTATATGTATGGTGGAAAGACGTCATGATACGTCCATATTTGAGCTAAAAGGCATTACAAACCGAAATTTCGACTCACCCTTTCAGTCCAAGAAAAGCAGTTACGTGAACTATGAAGCATATTATTCATATGTGTGTATATTAACATAAACACACACCCACACACACATACACCCAATATGAGCAATGGGTTTATTGTGTAAAAATGTTTCCAAACAAAATTGCATGTTCCCCATTTACCTATACTCGGTACATTTTACCCAGCTTGTCATAATTTTGCTCTTTAGGAAGACGCGTCGAACATTTGAGTGGTAGCATTAAATACATATGGTATATAATGCCTTATATAGCCGAGTCTTGACTTAATACTTTCGTCTTCATCAAATTTATGGGTGAACTCTAAAGTATATATACAAACATTATATACATATATACTTTGATGCATAACAATATCATTTTCAAAGTCAAATGATTATTTCTTGACAAAGCATTAGGTGAATTTTGTCTTCGTCTACGGAGCATCATATCTGTATATACATGTATATAGATATGTATGCGGTGTGTGGGTGTTTGTGTGTGCGCGTATTTATTTGTTCCTACGATTGGTAGTAGTAGTAGTAGTAGTAGTAGAAGTAGTAGAAGTTGTAGTAGTAGTAGTAGTAGTAGTAGTAGTAGTAGTAGTCGCCGTCGTAGTAGTATTAGAAGTAGAAGTAGTAGTAGTAGTAGTAGTAGTAGTAGTAGCATTAGTAGTAGTAGTAGTAGTAGTAGTAGTAGTAGTAGTAGTAGTAGTAGTAGTAGTAGTAGTAAGTAGTAGTAGTACGATTAGGAGTATAATAATACGAGGAGTGGTAGAAGTAAAGTAGTACGAATAGGAGTGGTGATGTGTTTACATCTACTTTGTAAAAAAAAAACATGGCAAGGTATTTCTGATACAATCTATAATTATCTAAGGGAGTAATATATATTACATTTTAAATGAAATATGCTTCAACTTAAACCCACAAATAGCAAAATACTAGAAAAGAACGTGAACAATTCGAGAAGCTGAGTTTATATAGACATGTATATAACTGGGGCAAACAGAAATACAATGCTTGCAAAGATCAAGGTGTGGAAAGATCTTCTTCCCCCGAATTGTACCAATATCGCTAAAATCACGTAAATGCTGTCTATAATTGATGTGTTCTGTCAATGTGTTTATTTTGTGTTGGTGTCGTGGCAACATATTTGTATGGTAACCCGTCATGAATCACGAATCATCATCGATGATTTTGCGATTATACAGTATCGACCATGGATCAAAAAGCTCTGCTTCTAGTTAGTTCCTCTTTTTTCGTGCTTTTCCTATTACATTTGTCGTTTCATGGTATATTTTTTGTAATGTACTTATTCAATGTATTATGTTTTGCATGAGAAATAACAAATTCATTTGAATCATATAAAAAATGGATTACACCTCTAAGTCATCATCACCAACATCATCATCACCATCATTATCATCATCATCATCATCATCACCATCATCATCATCATCATCATCACCATCACCATCATCACCATTACCATCCTCATCATAAACATCATTATCATCATTATCATCACCATCATCATCATCATCATCACCATCACCATCATCACCATCACCATCCTCATCATAATCATCATTATCATCATTATCATCACCATCATCATCATCATCATCACCATCCTCATCATAATCATCATCATCATCATCATCATCATCATCATTACCATCACCATCATCACCATCACCATCCTCATCATAATCATCATCGTCATCATCATCACCATCACCATCATCACCATCACCATCCTCATCATAATCATCATTATCATCATTATCATCACCATCATCATCATCATCATCACCATCCTCATCATAATCATCATCATCATCATCATCATCATTACCATCACCATCATCACCATCACCATCCTCATCATAATCATCATCGTCATCATCATCATCATCACCATCATCATCATCATCACCATCACCATCATCACCATCACTATCCTCATCACCATCATTTTCATCATTATCATCATCATCATCACCATCATCACCACCATCAACATCATCATCATCATCTATGCGGGAGTGTAGGATATCCTGTAGGTTTCCCGGTCATATCACTTGGTACATATTTATTAAAAGTCTAGAAACCAGTGCATGAGTGGAAGTCAGAAAATGCTATTCCAAAGTGTTTGTCTGACCAAAAAGAATCCAAGCTGGTAGCAGTTAGAGAGTAAAGGTGTCAATTTGTTTGCTTATTTAAGACTTAACCTTATGGTCTAACTGCATTATTTTGTCGTCATGTACATATGTTGATATTAAAAATGAACGAATTTGAATGAAATGAATACCTGACCCCCGTATTACAAAGAGTTGCGATTGAGACAAAATGAATCGCAAATCTTCCAATCAATCGCAGGTTTGCAATTTTCTATCTCTTATGCATACTGTATTTATGCGATTGATATCAATCGCAAATAAGTTGCGGTTGATACCAACTATTTGTGAAACGGGGCCCAGGTTTTTAATATGCAGGGGAGTGGGATGGAGAAATGGTCAAACTTATACTGAGCCGACTGTTAAAATTGAGAACCAGAAAATTCTTAATCTTATTATCCTTTTTGTTCAACTGCAAGGTGTAGAGGAGTCGTAGTCGAGTGGTTTAATCATTCAACTGGACATACAAAGGTCATGGGTTCGAGTTCCGGCACGGCAAATATGTCTTGGATCTAGATTTTGTTTGTAAATCCCCATAGCTCCTCTCTACCAAGGTGTTAAATGGGTACCCGGTATAATGCGAACGTCATTGTGGTTGGATTCGCCTGTGCGCGCCCGTAAAAAGGGCGAATTGCTGGAATGCTCCACATGGAGAGGAGAATGTGCACTGTAAGGTGCAGAATATTATTAAATCAATTGACCGGCCAATACTGTAAGCGCATTTGTGTCAGTTAATGGTAAACCGCTTTAAAGGAAAACAGGTATTATCGATACTGTTGTTATTGTCATTATTACTATTATTACTACGACAAAGTCATTTTATTTTACAAAAAGTCTCTTAAACGTTCTATTAAAAATGTTTTGGTACCGTAGCCTCAGTAAACTAATAGTTGGCACGAAGTTTAAGTCTATCTTCATAATTGATTCCTACAGATATCTTTTACAGCTGATGGTAGATGGCTTGAGTTTGAGAATGAAGCATGCAATGACGAATTCTACTTTATTGTCGATCTTAACGGAGGACAACTGGTAAGAAAATTGAAATTATATTTATATCCATATATACCTTGGAAATACCTTGGAAGTAGGCATTTAAAGTTAAAAACTTATTTGCCTCTCGTTGACATTCGGATGAAGAATCCTTTTTTTGGCACATGTTTAGTGGCGCTATACAGCAATTGACGAACATGGACAAGCGAAGGACTCCTCTGGGTCAAATTGATCTTTTCTTGACGACCAAAATTTCAACAAATTGGATTTATATATGAAAATGAAGATTAAAACCATACTGTTCCATATACCATGTGTTATTATTCGATCGATTTCGTGTAAGATAATCGAGTTAAGAATGATTAACATCAATTTAATACACAAAGCGAAATATATTGTACCTCATATTGTTCCGCCCCCCCCCCCCCCCTGTATCACTGAGATATGAGAATGATCTGGCTCGATATTTACTTATAAGGAGTTGTCTTCTTCGGATGCATAGAAAGTCACACACAGGACAAGCTAGTTCATCCTGGGTCTGCTATATGTGTGGTTCAGATATGTGATAAGGTGTTCAGGGTTGATTCATAGTTAGATTCTCTTGACGCAGAGAAGTGCAAGTCAGCCCTTTCATGAGTTTGAATGAGTTTGAATGAGTTTGAGTTTAAAGTTTAGTATCCAAACAAAAAGTACATCAATATAACAATCAAATGTGAATGTATAACATTGAAAGAATAAATGGGACCAGAAAATAGCATTTAATGCTAATCGTGTCTGGTACAACTATACACACAAAAGTATCACAGCAATGAATGAGAATGCAATGAATAAATATGAATAAAAAATTATTGATACAAACTTAATGTCCATTTTACGGATAACTTCGTTTTGGAGATGAATCCACCCAGTTGAGAGTGGAATCTACAATAAATTCTGAGAGTGACTTTCAACTGCACGACTAACTGATCCCCAATAATCCTTAATGAGTGGATTTCCTTTGCCAGATCATTTAGAGAGAAGCTATTATTATGACATAAACTACATTTAGGAAGTGTTCCCGGAACATGTGTCCTTATAGAGTCGTGCGTGTTGGTCAATTACAGGTGAAGACCCTGAAGATGGAAGACATGAACCCTAGTGTGACAACTGGTCAGAATGTGTCCTTTGAGGTCGCCTATGGCTACACCGTGCCATGCACTGATCAACCGACTCTCAATACCCTTCTCTGGCAGTACATCACACCTGGGGTACGTACTAAGATTGTTATCCTTTTGGCTCATCGTTGACGCAGCTTATTGCACACGATGCGTCAAATTTGCTGGCGTACGCTTGCGTCAGGAGGGTGACATCGTTCATAGCTGAGCGCAATATGCAAATTTCTAGCCCCATTAGCATAGCTTCATAATAATGATAATAATTATAACAATATTTATAAAGCGCAAAATATCCATTTCTAGAGATACTCAATGCGCATCAGGAACTCAACATACTTTAGATTGAAGTAATATTAAATTTCATTAGCGCATTCAATAACGCGATGAAAATTACGTTTTGCGCGGAATTGTCCTTCCACATCTGCATGTAATTGTCTTAATGCTTGATTAACAATCCTCATAAATTATCATCCAATGAGACTAATATTCAGTTTGGATAAAGTATTGCAGGAAATTTGGCCGTATGTGACAGTGTCTAAATTTTAGTTTATATTGATCAAGGCCATAACTTGCAATCTCATTACCGTTATCGTCATCATCATATTAACTTTCAAACCTCAGTCCCACCGACAAACGGACTTCACACCGACCTCAAACCGAGTGATTCTTGGCCCTGGCATAGACGTAATGGAATATTTTCTTATGGTTTAGTATTGGTCTTGTGTCGATCTGGTATCGGCTTGGTGTCGGTGTGATTTAAGTATTAGTTTGTTGGCATTAATGTGTCCATGTAGCTGAGCATAAATTATCAATCAGTAACAAGAATGCAAAACTCCAAAATAAAGTCATTCTGAACCACTTCATTGACAACCGGGAGGTCGTGGGTTCGAACCCCGGCCGCGTCATACCAAAAGACGTTAAAAGATGGGAGTTGTTGCTACCTTGTTTGGCGTTCAACAATAAAGGATAGAGCAACGTCGATCTGGCGCCGCTCAGTGGCTGCCGGGCTCACGATCAATTGGGCAAAAAGAATTTCCGTTTCGGTTTAATAAAATTTGGAGTGGACTATTAGGCTATTATTATTATTATTATTATTATTGTTTTCACATCTGCTTGTTTAAAACAACAATAATCAAAGGGTTGCATGCTTACGATGTAGCCCCCTCTACCATATTTATATAATCCATATTGATTACGCAATCACTCATGTCATTAAATTTTGAACATGTACTCTATTAAAAGAAAAATAACATCAATACCACATTAAAGCGCCCGAGTATGTATGTTTATTAAACATGATTCATATACAGTAGGCTTGCGGATGCACCGTGTGAGAGAGAGGGAGGATTAGGACCTGAAAAGGACTCTCGGTAATCTTTCTTGAGGGTGTGTAGTCCTGAAAAGGACTGTTGGTGTAGTCATGGTAGATACTAAATAAGGCGAATTATATCATACTGTTAATTGTTTTCTAATGACAGTGGTATGCCTCCGATGCGGATATCACGAAGGTTTGGAATCGTCTGAACTTCACGAATGGTGCCTTCGGTCAGGTTGAAGCCACGTACTTCAAGGCTTCTTACCTCTTTGTCCACTTCAACCATATCCCAGTCAACAGTCGATTCAGATTGTCTGTGACCGGATGCCATGAGACAGGTAAAACATCCCTCTTCTTTTTTTTTCTTTTTTTAATAATCTGTCTCCAAATTTTATTAAGTTAAGCCCGGCAGCCAGATCGACGTTGCTCTATCCCTTATTGATGAACGCCAAACAAGGTAGCAACAACTCCCGTCTTTTAACGTCTGTTGGTATGACGCGGCCGGGGTTCGAACCCACGACCTCCCGGTTGTAAGGCGGACGCTCTACAGACTGAGCCATCACACCTTTCAGCTTTAGTACAGGAACAAACAGAAGCAAAATACATAAGTATGCATCCATGTCAATCCTTATCAAGCATGTGTATGCTTGTCAGTAAGCAACCAGGGGTCCTCTCCGAGGGACTTGATAATGACGACTGATGCATTGCCAAAGGGCACAAGCACATTGACTTAGTTTCGAGCCCGTGATCTCCCGGTTACGAGACCACTGCTCTTCCTCTGAGCCATCGCACCTCCTCAATCCCTCGTTCATGTCTTTTCAGGGAAATGAAGGGGGTGGGGAGAGAGAAGGAAAGAAATAGAGAGATGGGGGTTAAAAGTGTGAGAGAGAAAGAGATAGAGAGAGAAGAAATAGTAATGCAATAAGTTATATTACCCGGAGAACCAAAAACAGCATCCTTGCTATTCATTCTGAGGGCATCGCAATTATTATTACTCCAGCAATTATTGTCAGGTAGTATTTATTCCTCAAAGTTCTTCTCAAAGTTCCACGTACACGACTCCGAATGTACGGTGATCGTGCCTTCTCTTCAGTTGCTCCACATCTGGAACTCCCTCCTATTCTTCGCGACACCGACAAGCTACAAAGCTTGAAGTCAGGCTCAAACTCCATCTTTTCAAGCAAATATGTAGTCCATGACTATTGGAGGAGCGGCCCCCATTGAATGTTTGAAACAGATAAATGGCGCCATACAAGTGCTGTGGATCATCATTATCATCATCTTACTAAAGGACGTTAGTGCAGGGTTAGGATTCGAACCATAAAGCCTTGGATTGGGAGACAAGTGAATAAACCGATACCTACACACCCAACGGGGGAGAGAAAGGGGGTAGGGAAAGAAAGATGGGGAGAGGGAAACATAGTAAAGTTGGAAAGAGAGTGGATAATGGGATGAAGGGTGCAGATGAGAATTTGAAAAGGGACAAACATTAATGAAGGGAAAATAACATGAGCGAAATGGAGCGAGAGAAGGGATATGAGATAGTGGGGTAAAACGAGATTCAGTGAGAGTATGGGAGAGGGGGTGGGGTAATACGAGAATCAATGAGGGTATGGAAGAGAGAGGTTAGAGAGAGAGAGAAGGGGGGTAATTCGAGATTCAGTGAGAGTATGGGATAGAGAGGGGAGAGAGAATGGGGTAATACGAGAATCAGTGAGAGTATGGGAGAGAGAAAGGGGGTAATAGGGACTTTTAGAATTGTCGAACGACAACGTGGATTGCTACGATCGACGTACTTGTAATGCACTTCCTTGAATGGACGTCACACGTAACAGTCCACGCAAATCTAAAAGTCCCTAGTGAGAGATTCAGTGAGCGTATGAGGGTAAATTGAAGGTATCCTGTTCACATAGTCACCATGCATTGATTTTATTACATTATTTTGTACCTGTTGTTATGAACATGATCGCGAGGAGTTCCAAAAACTTAACTTTTAAAATGTGCCAACAATTACAATGGCATATTTTGTAACCCGAACATGATTTCTACGGTCAATCCAATATGGTCTAGAAATTGCCTGTAAGTTGATTTTTTTCAAAACTTTGCGATCGCGGTCTTCTAATTATTTGTTTGATACTGATATTAAATCATATGATGTTTATCTTCTAGGCAAGGACATTGCCCCAGCCCTCGAGTACCTCAATAGCCTGGTAACGGTTACTCCTTCTACCTTATATCCCTTTATAACCTCATTTCTATCATTTACCAAACTCGATTGAATGTTTCTACATGTAATTCCAGATAAAACTCTAGCCAAAACGCCACAAGTCTGTAGTCGTTTCGCTTTCATGTTTCGTTAACAGCGATTTTAGGATATTAGTTGGATTGACATGTGAACGAAGTAAAAAGAAAAAAAAGAAGCTTTGATCAGATTTATGGTTGGTAGTCTCACCAAAGTAATGGGTAGCGAAACTGAACCCTAACTGTTTTACGCTACAGTTCTAGACACTGTTTGGCTCTTAAACTGAACCCAGCAATATTCAAGTAGTGTACTCCGTATACATCAATTATTCAATTTCTATCTCTCACCTGTTCAGACATATTATTTGCATGATTTGAATCTGTCTTTGTTTAGTGTGAGTTTTGTGTGATATGTCATGTGTGCTTTTTATTGCAGTAGTTAGAATTGCACATTATGACATCTTGATGTGTTATTTATAGATAGAAATAATGTTTGGTGCCTATCAAAGCATGAGCTTAGAATCAATTTGTCGTTTTGATTATCAGACTTCTTTCAGCGTGTTGTTGTGTGCCGTTATCAAATACTTGACAAGTTACCTTTTTTTAACGTTGGTGTCTTGTATCGGTCACTGTTTGTAATATCTGGAGACACATTTCACATATTTCAGTATATATTCTCTATGTTATGTATTAACTATCCTCATACTGATTGTACTCTGGCCGTTGGCTACCCTCTGAACATATCTATACTAGAATATAATGTATATTAAAAAAAAAAATTGAAAGAGTCGGTAAGTATTATTTTATATGCTACACTTTCATATTCAAAATTAAACAGGCTACTAAAATTCTAAAGAAAAGGAAGAATTGATAATAAAAATGACTCAAGTTATTCAATAATAGTTCATCATGTTAAATGTTTGAGTATTTGATGTCGTACCTTCATATATAATTATTATAACGTTATTACATTTTGAATGGAAAAAAAGTAATTTACTCAAGAATCATCGCTTATTTACAAGTCGCCCCTTTTCACCACAATACGTTTCTCCAATCGCGATGATCATCATGACAAATGGGTCATTTTAGCAATTCAAATGATATTCACATCTCTATGCATTGCATTATGGTAGGAAACTACAATCAAAATACTGAGCGACGCTAGAAGACGTTGCCATGACACCCGGTGTCATAGTAACTGGTAATATCAGAAGTGGAAAAGTGCATTAAGCTGATTAGATTGGATGCTTGATCGGTAGCAATCGTTAGAGCAAGAAAAGGACACACTACAATGATTTTATCTTCTTTATCGAAACCTGCCATTCTCGTCTATTTTGCCTTGGTCATTATTCATTCTAATTTGTTAATTTCCTTTATCGGGATTATCATCATTAAATCATGACAGCGACACTTATTGGTAGGGCGGTCGATATGGATGAAACCGGGTTCTTATGAAGTAGGTAGATCCCTTTTTGTATAATGAAATAAGATCTTTGAGATTAAAACACTGGCCTGAAAGGGGTATTTGCTCGAACTAATAGGAAGGTTAAGGTATATCTCAAGGCACGATCGAGGCTCGAACTTTTGTTAATACGCTGCAACATTCTGAAAAGTACAGTGTCAGGCAGGGAGGTGCTAGTTGCACGTTTTGGATACATGTAGATTGTTAATAATTAATTGTTAATTGTTAATAGTAATTGTTCTCTTCAACTAAATTGAATAGGAATTACAGAATTAGGACAACTTAATTCAACCCCCCCCCCCCACCCCCGCTACCACCACATTAGGCTGCACCCTTTATCATTTGTAAGGAATACCATTGCCTGATGCATATTGAGCTCCTTAACGCTGTCTTCTTCTTTTCTCTTCTCTCTTTCTCTTTCTCCATCTCTTTCATCCATATCCTCATTTGCTTTTTCCTTTACTTTGTCATTATCGCTTCTCTGCGGTTATTCATTTTCCCCCATATTTTTTCTTGATTTTCTATTAATTTTTTCTTCTAAACTCCTGTCTATTTCACTTTTGCAACTCTCTCTCTCTCTCTCTCTCTCTCTCTCTCTCCCTCTTTCTCTCTCTCTCTCTCCCTCTTTCTCTCTCTCCTTCTCTCTCTCTCTCTCTCTCTCTCTCGCTCCATACACCCTCCAACACACCCCCCTCCCCAAATTCTCTCCCCTTTCTCCGTCTGTATTCCTCATTTCTCTTTCTAAATCTCTCAACTTTTTACCTCCTCATTTCTTATTTCTTATATTTACCGATGTTTTCTCTGTTCTGTACTATCACCTTTGTTCACCCCTCTTCACTTGTACTGTTACTAATTTATCTAATTTCTTGATGAATATTCTTGGTGCTTCGTGTGTCTGTTGTTACTTTATTCTTAATCGCTGTCACCCCCCCCCCCCAATCTCTCTCTCTCTCTCTCTCTCTCTCTCTCGTTCCTTCGCTGTCTTTCTGGTCCATATGGTCTATGTGATCTATCTACGTATTGTCATATCTTCCTTCTTTCTCTTTCCTCTCTCTCTCTCTCTCTCTCTCTCTCTCTCTCTCTCTCTCTCCCTTTCAGCTAAGTGTGACCAATGACACGTTGGAGATCGTACAGGGCATTGCAGTGTCTGGGACTGCGATACAATCGGAAAATAATCTTACTGATGATGAAGTGGTCCTGTTTCTCGATGCATTCGCGTCCTTCGAGGATAAATCCCTTGATCTGTCTAACGAGCCGGAGGAAGCACAGAATCTAACAGATGTAAGTGTTTTCGCTTTAAGCTACTTCTGCGATAATCTTTAAAACGAAATATAAATTTTAAAGAAAGATCTTTGTATAAAACGTCATGATATTTGAATAGTGTCGTTCTCTCTGCTACACAATGAACAGAAATACACTGCCTTGAAGTGCTAGTATAAACAATGGAGTAAAAATTGGCGTATTAGTACTATTTTATGACTATTCATTCCATTTCGGAGGTCGAGACTCCATAGTTTTAGTTGGTGTCTCGCATTACGGTAAGTTTTTTTTGTTTGTTAATCCCCGCCTTCGAATCCTTAGTTACCATGCGTTTAGTAAAATAAGAAATTCTGAGAATTTATGACGTCATGAAATTACGTCATTTTCAACTGAAAGGTGGAATCACAAACCCCCTCTGCCTTTTATCGCGATGGAAGCCTGATCTCGATAAAAATGGCTTTTTTTTCTGCAAGAGTGGAAAACGATCTTGATCGACGCCACAGCAATGAAAAAATAGGTGGTATTCCAGTAAAAAAAAAAAAAATCAAGAATTATCATGTGAATTACTCCCAATTTTCAATAATGGATTTGAAACAACAAGCATTCTGTTCTCGACTGTACAGGATTAAAATCACTTAATTGTTTGCACATAGTCGTTCCGAATATTTATTAATTCATCTCGTATGTAAATCTATGTTGACTCAGATTCTACAAACCAAATGTGTTCACGTATTGTTGATGATGGTATTATTATATTTTTTGTTTGGATTCAATACATTTACCTTGCATTGAGCATACAAATTGGAATGACTAATTTTCGTTTGGTGCAGAAATTATCGTTATTATTCATTGTGCTTAATGCAATATTTCGTTTTTACGCTGACAAAGTCGTTCTTACATATACAAATTATTAGCGTGTATTGAAATTAATTGTTTTGTTCATTCCTCTGCGTGTTGGTGTCAGGGTTTTGCTGAAGTTGCTTCCAAGGTTTTGAGTTCTATCACGTTTGTCAGCATACCACTAGAACATGTAAGTAACTATGGTAACGTACACAACAGTTCGTGCCCGATTGAATCGAGTTGGGTGGCTTATTGTGCGAACTGCTTTTAAATCATCTATGTGGTCGTAGACTGAGGTGCACTGCATTTACTGAAAATAACATTGTTCATGATGCATGTATTACTGAGCAAATAAACGTATGAAATCTAAAAGGTTTTCATTCAAGCAAAATTTGACAAAAGGGTTTAG